GGTGTCTTGGCACCTATTGGAGGCCTCCTAGGGCCTCCTCGGGGCCTCTTGGGGGGCCTCTTGGGGTTGGGATTTTCGGTTCGTGTTCCCCCCCTCTTGGGCCCTTCTTGTGGCTGTCTTCGGGCCGTCTTGGGCGCCTCAGATGCCGTCTTCCGGCAATCTTGGGCCGTCTTGGGGCCTTCCTGGGGGCCTCATGGGCCCTCTTGGGGCGGTCTTGGGGGCCTCGTGGGCCGTCTTGGAGCGTCGGAAGCTTTAAACGTCGAGGACCCCCAACACATGAAACAGCCATCGGAAAATCAATGATTGTGGCCTCTCGGGGCCCTCCTTTGAAGCCTCTTGGGCCCTCTGTGGGGCCATCTTGGGCGTCTTGGACCGATCGTGCGGCGACTCGGGGCTTCCTTCGGCCGTCCAGGCGGCCCCCTCGGGGCCCTCGTGGGCCCGAAGAATGTATGTGGGGAGCCGCGAGGCGACCCAGAAGATTCGGTAACTTCGGCTCTGCGCCACCTTGCAGACCCCTCAAGACGAAGGACTGAGGCTTCGGGGATTCGTCCAGTGACCTAAAGACACTCCAACTCGTGCCTCGAGGGCACGGTGCCGGACACACACACACACACACACACACAAAAAAAAAAACACACACACACAAAAACACACAAACACATACACACAACATCACAAAAACACAAACAACAACATAAGCATTAACACCAGCACAAGCATAAGCACAAGTTAGAATCATTACCACAAGCACAAAACAAACAAAAACACGAAAACGAAAAAGAGCACGAGCACGAACACGAACACAGACACAAACACAGACAACACCAACAACACAAACACGAACGCGAAAACCAACACAACCACAATACGGCTACAACCACAACCACAAACACAAACACAAACACACACGCACCCACAACCACAACCACAGCCACAACCACAACCACAACCGCAACCGCAACTACAACCACAACAACAAACACAAGCACAAACAAACACACACACACACACGAACACATCCACACACACACAACGACAACCACATCACAAACACAAACACACAGAAACACAAACACAATCACAACCACCACAACACACCCAAACCCAAGCCGAAGAAAGACAACCACAACCAGAAACACAGACACAACCACAGACAAACACACACACACACGCAACCACAACCACTGACACAAACACAAACACACACACAGCCACAAACACAAACACACACAAACGCAAGCACAATCACAAACACTCAGAAACACAAACAGTCACACACAAACACAAACACAGGCACAACCACAAACACAGACACCCACAGAAACACAAACACAGCCACACACACAAGCAAGCACAAACACAAGCACAAGGACACAAACACAAACACAGACACAACCACACAAACGCGCTCGCACGCCCGCACGCACGCACGCATGCACGCACGCACGCCCGCACGCCTGCCCGCCCGCCCGCGCGCGCGCGCTCTCTCGCGCGCGCGCATGCAGGTAGGCACGCACCACGCACTCACGCACGCACGCATTCACGCACGCCCGCACGCCTGCGCACACGCACGCGCACGCGCGCACGCGTGCACACGCGCACACGCGCACACGCGTGCACGCATACGCACACACACGCACACCTGCACACACCTGCACACGCACACACACGCGCACACACGCACGTACGCACACGCGCACACACCACGCCCACACGCACATACGCACACACGCACACACACACACACGCACACACGAATGCGCACGCGCACACACGCACACACGAACACACAAACGCACCGGCATACGCACTCGCACACGCACACGCACCCGCACCCGCACCTGCACACGCACACGCACATGCGCACGCGCGCGCGCATGCGCACATGCACGCACCCGCACCCGCACCCGCACCCGCACACGCACACGCGCATGCACACGCACACGCACACTCACACTCACGCACAAACACACGCGCACGCGCATGCACACGCACACGCGCACTTACCGGCACACGCACACGCACACGCACACGCACACGCACACGCACACGCACCCGCCCCTGCACACGCACACGCTCACGCACCCGCACCCGCACCCGCACCCGCACCCGCACTCACACGCACCGCACACGCACATGCACACGCACCCGCACCCGCACACGCACATGCACCCATACTCGCACACGCACACGCACACGCACGCACACGCACACGCACACGCTCATGCACACGCACCCGCACACGCACACGCACACGCGCACGCGCACGCGCACACGCACACGCACACGCACACGCACACGCACGCGCACACGCACACGCACACGCACGTGCACGCGCACGCGCACGCGCACGCGCACACACGCACACATTCACGCACCCACGCACTCACGCACGCCCGCCCGCACGCCAGCACGCCCGCCAGCCCGCCCGCACGCACGCACGCACGTGCGCACGCGCACGCGCACGCGCACACACACATACACACACATACACGCACACACACATGCACACACACACAGACACACACAGACACACTCACACACACGCACATGCACCATACACACCACACACACACACACACACACACACGCACACACATACACACTCACCACACACTTTTTCGGTCGGCAGCGATGCGGGACGATCCGCTCCAGCGTGGCAGCGATGTCGTGGCACTACAAAGCGATTAGCCGGCATGCAGGAGGAGGGAAAAGGAAGGGACGGGCGGCCGCGGGAAAGAGGGAAGGGCGAGCACTCAGAGGCAGAAGACTTCCGCCATGAGCGGCCAGAGCGGCCCGCGGGCGGCGGGGACGGTGTCCGGGGGGCCGGAGCGCCAGCCAGGCAGAGCGCGTCAGCAGGCGCGATGCGCCGGGCAAGGGGAAACAGCGTACGCGTGCATGGATGGCCTTAGTTACATGCGTGTTAGGTGTACTTCAGGGGCCCGCGGTGCCGTACGACCAGGCACGTTCACCACGCACACACTCACACCACACACACCACACCCACGCACACACCTATACACATATATATATGTATATACATATATATGTATGTATGTATGTGTGTATGTGCATAGATCTAATGGTCTCCAGCCATGCCACCGTGCCTACGATCAGGCGGAAATGCGGCTGGCGTCTGAGGGACTCGAAGGTCTCTCGGGCATAGTTCTGATGCCTCATGTGAGCTGCTTGGGGGCGTTCTGGGAAGTTCTTTGGAGCCTCCAGGCAGCCTCCTGGGGGCTTCTTGGGGTCTCTGAGCGGCCTCTTCGGGGCCTCTTGGAGGCTTCTGGGGGTTTCGTGGGCCGGAGAATTTGAAATGTCAGTTCGTCTTCCCCCTCTGGGGATCTTCTGTGAGTGCTCTTGGAGCCGTCTTGAGCTGTCTTAGGGATCTCTTGGGCCGTCTCGGGGGCGCCTTCGGTCGTCTCTGGACCCTCTGGGGGATCCCGTGGGCCATCTTGGGGCGATCTTTGGAGCCTTTTGGGCCGCCTTGGAGCGTCGGGAACATCGTTTGATTTTGCTTCTGGAGGCCCTGTGGGCAGTGCTCTTGGAGGCCCCTTGGGGCAATCTGGAAGCCTCTTGGTCTGTCTGGAGGCCATCTCGGACGTCTTGGAGCGCTCCGTCGTCGACCCGAAGCCCTCCGGGACACGCGGGAGAGTTCGGGAGGTTGCTTTGGCCGAGCATGTTTTTTGGGTGGAGGGCAAAGGGTGAAATTTGAAATGCCGTTTCGATGGATTTTCGAGGCTTGAACCTGCAAAAGGTGAATCACAAGACGGGTTGATCAACGAGGCGCAATAGCCCATATGGATTTCACCCTGAGCCCTCCACCTCAAGATTAAGTCGGGCCTGTCCCTCTACAGGAGGAGTAGTCCAACATAGTCAAAACATAGTCTGGGGAGTATTTTTATATCATTGTTGAATATTTTCGGGTATTGTTTGACAATGTTTCATTTTTCGTCCAAAATTCCCCTGCAGGGGGACAGGCCCGACTTTCACCCTAAGAAAATGCTAAGTTTGTTTGGGGGGGCGCAGCGTCCACGGGAGACGCAGGACGCACCTCGGAGCTCGCGCGGGCCACGCGCGCCGGCCGGGGCCGCCGGCCCAGGAGCGCGCTGGGAGGCTTTGGAGGGGGGGGGGTCCGCACCCTCGAGGAACAGGGAGTATTTTTGGGCTTGCAGGAGCAGCACGGCTCTGAGCCTTGGGGCGCTGCACTCCACTTCGTGTGCCGGAGGCACGGTGGCGTGTATATATGAATATACATACATACATATATGTGTATATATATATGTGTGTATGTGTATATATATATATATGTCGTAGGTGGATAGACCTCCTACCCTGACGCGTCGATTCAGGAATTGGCCGTTTTTGGTTCGCGAGGGGGCGTCGCGGCCGTCATGTTTGCGGGCCCAGGTCCGTCGGTTTCGGTCCCAGGCCGTATGCACTACGGGGAGGTTTACTAAAGGGAGGTTCGTCCACCGCCGAATTTATACATATATATGTGATATATGTATACATACGTGTGTGTATGCATATGGCCCTGCAGTGGAGACCCATGCCAAGAGAGACCCTGCTTGCCTCCAGGGTGCCCTGGGCTTCTTGGATTTATTTCGAGTGTCTGTTGCGATGGAAGAAGCGTGCCCCCCCCCACACTAGAAAATCAGTGGACGTCATGGGGTCTCAGGTTTGGTTGTCTTGTGGGAGGTTTCTTGTGGTCGAGCTCCTACGGTATAATGCTATGTGCCCTTTTTATATCAGTCTCTCTCTCTCTCTCTCGCTCTCTCTTTTGTTCTCTCCTATTATCTGCCTCTGTCTCTCTCTCTCTCTCTGCGTTTCTGTTTAGTTCGTCGCTCTCTCTCTCTCTCTCTCTCTCTCTTTCTGTCTCCACCCGATCTCCATCTGTATCTCTACTCCGTGGCCGTCCAGATGTCCCCTCTCTAAGCGTCGTCAGTCTGCGTGTCCGTCTGCCTGTGTGTGGTCCGTCTCTATCGTATGAGGCCTTTGTTACCGCTTCTGGTTTTCAAGTTCTTGGCTCAAGGATCGTTACTTGGCACCACTCACCGACTTGGTTTCCCCAGGCGTTCGGGCTTGCTCGTGCGGTTGGCAGTACTACTAGGACAGGCCAATGATTCGTTCCATCGGAGCAATGCCATTTGTTTTGTGCAGGTGAGTATGGGAGGCACATGCGATCTTGCCTGGGCACCCGCCAAGCTTGTGCTGTCCCGTATCCATGACCACACACATGTGAAGTGTGTTGCTTAGTGACAACTTCACACGTGGGAACCTGCATCACGAGGAGACGGCAGGCGCAGCCATGGGTCATGATATGCCATCACGTCGAGTTGACTTGCCGTCCAGCGTGCACTGCAAAGGTGACGGGATGCTGTGTTGGTAGGGTCGCGAATGGGTGTCACGAGTTGCGTGATCGCGGAATGGCAACATGATCCCGAGGCAAGCTTGTGGATCTGACATGCAGCCAACACTCTGCACGGCGTTTTCGTTTCCATCTTCCTTTTCCCGATCCGTTCCCGCTCCTCTCAATTACAGTGGAAGCCCATGCCGAGAAACACCCTGCTTGCTTCCAGGGTGCCCTGGGTTTCTTGGGCTTCGATGGTCTTTTTAGGGCGACGAAATCTATACATATCCACTGCTCCCAGGCCAGGCCCATCCTCAACCCCGCAGCGGTGTATACGCCACGCCCTCCTGGCTTGGCCAGGAGGGCGCATACACAGCTCCTGGGTTCAAGATGGGCATGGTCAGGGAGCAGTGGATATGTATAGATTTCGTCGCCCGACTTTTGCCATTGAAAACGTGACGTTCCCACACCAAAAATCAATGGACGTCCTGGGGTCTCAGGGTTGGGTCTCTTGTTGGAGGTTTCTTGGGGTCGAGCTCCTACTGTATCTTGCTCTGTGTATTGGCTCCGCTTGTGCAGTTGTCCTTCTTCCCCTCCTGCCTCCGCATCCCGGCCAGCGCCGTTGCGACAGTGTGCGCAAGGGTTGTGTGTTCTTCGGAGCTGCCAACGATTCTGAACTCGTCGTGGCCACTTGTTGCGGCGAACAGAAGAGGGGTGGGACTCTGGAGGGAGGTCTCTTGTGGTCGGGCTCCTGCTGTGGCCCGCGGGCGCACATCCTGGCCATCCCGCCCTGCTTCAGTAGCGTTTCTCCGATCCCCATCCCCATCCCCCGCCGCGTCTCGAGCCCCACCGCCTCAGCACCTCAGTTGGGGGGAATGTGCCCCCTCGAAGCCCGAAGAGAGCAGCCCACATCCCCATGCAGGGGGGCGAATCGGCCAGCGGGGCCCAGCCCGCGCTGGTGGGGAGGGGGATCGGTGAAACGATGCTCACTGCAGCTGGTCACCACCCACCAAACCACCCCAACCCAACCCGAAGGCCTCAATTTGCCCTTCATTTCCAGTTGGGGGGGGTCGGGGAACACTGAAAAAACACACATGGAACCCTTACCCCCCCCAACCCGAAATCCAGGTCTTCGGGTTGGGTTGGGGTGGTCTGGTAGGTAGTCAGCTGGGCACGAGGATCCAGAGCAGCCTGGCAGGGCCGTCCACGTTCCGGTGCGACGCGGTTGGATTTTCGCCGGCCGGGGCCGCGGGCCGATGCGGCTCGATGCGGCTCGGCTGTCAACGGCATCGACCAGGTCCAGCCAGAGCCAGAGAGCCCCCCCAAAAAAAAAGGTCCAGCCAGAGCCAGGCGAGGCGACCCGATCTCGATTCGTTGCGGGACGAGTCGCTGGCGGTCCGATGCGATCTCGCGATGCGATCTCGGGCTTCGCGATGCGATGCATCCCGGGCCTGCCTAGGTTTTGAGGGGTGCCTTCGTTGGGTGGCGTGCCGAGGGGGGAATCCGGGGGGGGCATGCCTTCTCAGAAGGCGGCGGGGCTTCTCTTAAGCCGGGCGTGTCCCTCTACAGGAGGAATGCTCAAAGCTAGTGAAAAAGTAGTCTGGGGACCATTTTCTAGAATTTTTAACTATTATTTGCATTTTTGTTCTCATGTTTAATTTTTCGTCCAAAATCCGCCTGCAGGGGGACATGCCCGACCGAAGGGCAGGCCTTCTCAGAAGGCGGCGGGGCTTCTCAGAAGCCCTCCGGCCTTCTCCGGAGCCGCCGGGCATGCCTCACCCAGGGGAAGATGACCCTAGAATTCGGTGCTGGTGGTACTTCGGCCACCTAGGGCGCCAGCATATTACCACCACCACCGAGATCAGGAGCGCCTTCCCTCGGTGGAGGCACGCCGCCGATACTTGGTGTTGGTGGCATCATCTAGGCCTCCCATCCTGATCAAGGCTGGAGTCGGGGGTGGACAGACCTCCTTCCCTGACACGTCGATTAGCGAATTGGCTGTTTTCGATTCGCGAGAGAGGGCGTCACGGCCGTCATTTTTGCGGGTCCAGGTCCGTCGGTTTCGTTTTCACTAAGGGGAGGTTTATTTAATCGCTTCGCTCATTCCGCTGGCCCTGAAGCCCTCTTTAGGGCCTCTTGGGGACCTCTTGGGAGTCTCTTGGGTCTCCTTGGCGGCGTCTTGGGGGCCCCCAGGGCCTCTTGGGGGGCTTTTGGGGGGCCTCTTGGGGCGGGAGGGGGGGTAGTCGATTGCGGCTCCCCCCTCGGAGGCCACGATCCGCGTGAGGGGTGTCGAAACATGGCCCTCCCTTGGAGTACTCTGGTGGCTTCTCCCGCGACCTTGCCGGGGTGCTTTTCGTCCGGGGGCCCCCAGGGGCCGCTCCGCGCGCGCGAACTGGAAATATTATTGCTAACCACTTACCGGAGATCTTGGCACGCCTCTGGTCAGGAGCGAAAGAAGGACGTGCACGTACATGAATCCATGCTGGTTTCGAGAGTTCGCACTGCCCGAAAGTTCGTATCACGCGGCCGGTCTCGCAGATCGAGGGGCCGTGTTCGTGTACATAGCTGGGCACGTACGTCCTTTGTGGGCTCCCTATGGCCCGTTGGGCCGGCGAATGAAAGGGAGGTTTGTCCACCGCCGATGGAGGCCGGGCCCGACCCCTCTTGGGCGCCCGAGTTATCCGGGGTAACTCGGGTCCGGGGTAACTCGGGTTTGGATTCCCGAAAAAGGAACCCGAGTTATCCCTGACCCGAGTTACCCCTGATGATTCGGGGCTCTGGACGCCCGAGTTATCCGGGGTAACTCGGGTCCGGGATAACTCGGGTTCGGACTCCCGAAAAACGAACCCGAGTTATCCCTGACCCGAGTTACCCCTGATGATTCGGGGCTCTGACCCTCCGCGTCCCCCCCGTGGGGGCTCGCCGCCTGCTCGTGCTCGTGTCGCGCCCGGGGCTCTCGCCGCCTCGGAGTGCCCTCGCCGCCCGATGTCAGGTCGGGCCCGTCGGGCCTGTGCCTCCGCAGAGCTGCTGATCGGGCCGTCGAATTTTTACAGGAGGAGTCCTCTAAACAAGGGCTCCCTCGAGGGCGCGAAGTTATTCGCGCTTCGCGCTTCGCGGTCCTCGTTCCTCCTCCCCCTCCTCCTCGTCCTCCTTTTCTCCCTTTGGGGGGGCGGCGCGAGAGCGCGAAGTTATTCGCGCTTCGCGCTTCGCGCAGCGCGAAGCGCGAACTTAGGAGCCCTTGCTGATGTCAAGTCGGGCCTGTCGGGCCTGTGCCTCCGCAGAACTGCCGATCGGGCCGTCGAATTTTTACAGGAGGAGTCCTCTAAACATGGTACGGTAGGTTTGCGTCGTGTCGACCAGCGGCGACCCCAGCGCGGGCGTTCAAGGTTGAACGCCGCCGGCGACCCAGAATCGATCGATGTTGAACGATCGGACGTTGCGGCAGCGGCCGATCGTTCAAGGTTGAACGATCCCTGCGGTGTCAAAAACCAACGCTGGGGTCGGCACGACACGAACCTGCCGTAAACAAATGGTCTGGGGACTATTATCTGACAATGTTTACGCATGTTGGGGGTATTTTTCTGTGCATGTTTCGTTTTGTGCCCCAAATCCGCCTGTAGGGGGACAGGGCCGACCGAAGTCTAATGGGGGTCAGCCCTCTGGGGGTCAGGACAAGGTGAGCTCACTTTCTAGGAGTCTCCTTGCTCATGGCCGCATGGGGACCAAAAGATGTGTCGTCCCTGGCGTTTCCTGGGCAGCTCCTCCAGAACCTCCCCTGGAGCCACCATTTTTCCATAGGCATGATTCTTGAGTCTGCCCTTCTTTGGCGTTGACCCCCAGAAGGCTGACGCCCACTTCGGCGGCGAGCCCGGGTTGGAAGGTAGAGAGGGAGCAGGTCTTCTCAGAAGCAGGGCGCCGAGGCCCCCCCCCCGAGGGCTCAGCTGTACGGATCCACCGTTTCTCCTCCCCGCCCTCCCACCCCGATCCACCACGAACACTCCCTTTACGTCCTCCCCTCTCTAACTTCCCCACGCCGACTTCGGCTGTGATCATGGAGGGCTCGGGCCCACCCGCGGTGTCTCATCTGTCGCTGAAAGTTTGCATGTGAGGGCTCACATATTTCAATCCATGTTACGCGTTTGCCTTCTTCTGGTGAACAGAGCGGCTTCTCTGTCCCCTCCCCTTCAGGGGGTGGGCAGAAACCCAATATCTGTTCAACACGTTCCTACCTCATGCTTCTATTTTGTTTGCTTTTTTCTTCAGACCGATGGGTACTGAGGAGGGCAGGACCAGAGCCTTCTGATTTGGTGTTCCAACTTACTTTAGGCTTGACCGCCAGAAAGAATTTGGGCACCAGTCCAGTACCGAAACTGGATGGTTTTCGAGTGTCGGGCCCGGGGAGGTGATACTCGTTCGACCTTCGCTGGCGTGTCGGGTAGACACTGTTTGGGTACTTTTCTGTGTGCTCGACATTTGGGGATGTGGTCCTCACGTACGATGGGAACAACACAAGCCATCTGCCCTCCCATAAATTCCCAGGAAGGGGCCAGAGGAGGAGGAGGAGGAGAAGGAGAAGGAGAGAAGGAGAGAAGGAGAGAAGGAGAGAAGGAGAAGGAGGAGGAGGAGGAGGAGAGGGAGGAGGAGGAGGAGAGAAGGAGAAGGAGAAGGAGGAGGAGGAGGATGAGGAAGAGGAGGAGGAGGGGGAGGAGGGGGAGGAGGAGGAGAGGAGGAGGAGGAGGTCCCTCGAGCGCTCCTTGGGCACCCGGTGTGTGAACGTGGCGCTTCATCCTGATCGGAACCAGGTGGTCGCCTTCTGTTCAAGACCTGTGCTTGATCCGCTGCAGTGCATTTCTGCAGCTGAGCTCATTGCCGTCATTCACGTTCAGCGGCTTGCGACACCACCTGTCCGCATCGTCACTGATTCTGCTCTTGTCGTGGATGGTTTCCACGAGCGTGGACGGTTGGCTGCCGCTGCTCGTGTTGCCGCGCGCGCCCATCTCTGGAGGGAGTTCCGGCGGCTGGTGGATGACTGGGGGGATGGGTTCGAGATCTTCAAGGTTAAAGGCCCTGCGACCGTGGATGACGTTCTCCTTGGACGCACCACGGCCAGGCATAGGTATGGTGATGCGAAGGCGGACCTTGCTGCGAAGAGTGCTGCTGCGTTCCACCGTGTTGCGTCTGGCGCACGGGAGCAGCCGCAGGCGCGAGCCAAAGTCGTTAAAGCTTGGGGCACATGGATAGGGCGCCTCAGCGACGGCTTGGAGGATTGCGGTCATCCTAAGCGTCACATGCGAGGCAAGCCGCCAGTGCCACAGCTGATTCTGGTCAAGGACCCCCCTCCCAGCGACGTGGTTCGTCGTGCGTTAGCTGCTCAGGAGAAGCTGGGAGAGGGGTCAAGAGCGCATGCCCTTGCCAAGATCCAGCTACAGGGCGGTTCGGTTCGCTCGTAGTTGGATGTCTGCGTTGTGCTAGCTTTGCCGCTGCTCGTGTCTCGAGCCTGTTGGCCCCTTGACCCCCCCAGGCGACGGAGTGGGGGCGGAAGGTGCTCACAAGGCTGGCCAGCAAGCGGGAATCCAGGCTCGATGGTAAGGTCAATCGAGTTCTCTCGATCGTTTGATCGTTTAGGCCGCAGTGCGCCCCCCTGCCCCTTTAACGGATGAGGGTCCTCGCCGTGGTTGTAGCAGCGGCTGCCGCGGGGGCCGTACAGACCGATGGGGTGATGGGGGCGCATGCGGTCTCTGTCTGCTCACACGTGGCCCACGGTGGTTGTAAGGTGCGCCCTAGGCCACGTGCGGCTTCCGCAGGCTGACGAGCGACAGATCCTGCCGCTCGCCAGGTTGTGCCCAGGAGGAGGAGGAGGAGGAGGAGGAGGAGGAGGAGGAGGAGGAGGAGGAGGAGGAGGAGGGGAGCGGACCGTCTTGAATGTCCGGTTCTCGTGCGACTCCCACCGATGCCGGCGAGGCTAGCCTGGCGCATGGCCGGGCGAGCAGGCCGTAAGTCCAGAGGCCGTGGAGGAGTGTGCTGTAAAAGGGGTGCGGTGGCCCTGCTGAAAATGGCGATGTCATCTGCGATGTCCGCACGTGCGTTGCATCCCGAATTCAAAATCGTTGGCCTTGCGCCGACCGCTGTAAACGAGTCAGAGTTCATAATTCCAGCTTCTCTAAATGACTGTCGTCCAATCTAAACGGCGTTACCTAGGGCACATTGCAGAACGCCCCCCCGCCAAGAGGCACGTGATTCTTAAAAAACGGTTTTCCCAGAAGTCATTTCTGTGACCCTAGAGTTTCAAGGACGTCGTTTCGGAGTTTTTGGAAGTTTAGTTTTGTGGTGAAGCAAAATGATTCGTCAATCTCCGGATTTCTGAGACGCGCGTTTTGCCACTCGGCATTTAAGACGTTGCGTGCCTGGTGATTCGGTGTTCTGGAATAGGACTGTGGTGCTTCTGTTGAACATAGGATTGCGGTCGTTTGGGAAGTTGGAACCAGGAGTTTTGACGTTCATTGGAGCGGCTGGCGCAGGGACAACGTTGTGGAAATCAGGATGCAACGCGCTCGCGGCTATCGTAGTTAACAATGCCATTCTCAGCAGCGGCACCACGCACCCGTTTGCACCACACCCCCTCGCGGCAACCGGACAGCGGGTGCGAAGAAACTTTGGGAAACCCGACGTCCCTAGTGGTCGTTTGAAGCCCTCGGAGGCCTCGGGGTGCGAAAACATCACGACGACAGGCTTTTAGCATGTTCAGGCATTCTTTTCGCGTGTCCCCACTGGCCCTCTACGCTGGTTCCGCTCGGGGGCCACGGTCCGTGGTGCGTCGCCTGCTCGGACGGCACGCGTCTCCGATTGGGGTTTCTCCAAATGCAGGGTTCTCGTTGGCACTTCTTTGGAGGTTGCCCGCCTACGTGATGTGTGCGCGATCTTGTTCCCCACGACGGCGGTGGTACTCTGGCTCCTCTTGCGGTACACGCTGTGTCGTAGCTGAGGAGAAATTCGTCGAGGATGACGTCGTCGCAGTTGGGGGCTGCCGATCCCTTCGACACTCGGGCTCGGCTTTCTTCGACTTCTGGGCGGCGGTTGAGCCCAGACGCGTAGCCTGCAATTTCCGGCTGTTCGCCCGCTGCACGCGCTCCTGTTCCTTGCCGCGGCATTTAGGTCATTGTTTGATCCTTGTGACGGCGCGCGGCTCTCCCGCTTGGGCTCGCGAACGCAGAGAATCCCCACTGGCCCGTTCAGGAACCCCGCCCATGAGATTTGACGGGGCATGGGACGAAGGGACACATAGTGAAACGAAGCGGGCATCCAGGATGAACAGAGAGATCTCTGGAATCAAGGGGGTGGCTTTGGACTGCCTCTCCGGGTCGCCCGCGAGGCCCGCGTGGGGGGCGAGGGGATCAGGCTGAGTAGGGGTGGGCAGCAAACCGCCTCTTGGGGCCCTCGTGGGACGCTGTTGGGACGTTCTTGGGCGCTGTTGGGGCCGTCTTGGGGCCCTCTTTGGGCTCTCGGATTCGAAAAAGCGTGAAGGCATAAACCCTTGTGATATTTCGTATGTCTTTGAAGGATGTGGGCCTCTTAGGGGTCCCCACAGGGGTCCGAGGGTTTTTGGAACCGTCTTGTGGCCCTCGTCGGGCCTTTTGGAGATATGTCAGAAGCTGTATTGAACCATATTCGGCTACCTTGACCCGCCTTGGACGACATCTTGGACCATCGGAGGCCCTCTTGGAGCCATCTTGTGACATCTTGGACGCTCTGACCGATCGTTGCCCGCCCACGAAGCAGTCGCAGGGAGGACCACCTTCTCCCAAAAGTGTGGCGGGAGGAGGGGAAGGACGGGGAGGGGAAAAGGGGAAGAGGAACTGGATAGGGCAATCTCTGGAAGGGAGGGGGAGGAGAACGAGGAGGATCGATGAGGAGGAGGAGGAGGAAAAGGAGGAGGAGGAGGAGGATGATGAGGAGGAGGAGGGGGAGGACGAGCCGGCGTCGAAGCCTGCCCCCCTGCGCGAGGACCCGCTTACGTGAATTTCCATATCGCCGCCGCCAACAATGGTGCCCGCGCCTGCCAGGCGCCCCGACGCCCCCCCCCCCCCGGGCGGGCGGGGATCCCCCCCGCAGCTCTGCCCGTGCCTGGGCCGGCTCCTCGGGGGCAGCGCTCGGGGGGGACGGGCTGAGAGGGGATGGCCCGGTGGCAACTTATCGGAGCCTGGTTGTATTCAGGAGGGGGAAACACAGACATAATTAATCGTCGATCCCCCAGAAAATATAGGAAAATGTGGAAAGTGGGGGGGAAGGCGAAACCCAGAAAATATGTGAAAATATAGGGGATCTTTGTATTAGTGTGTATTTATGTGTGTGTGTGTGTGTGTGTGTGTGTCCTGGGGCCCCTTCATGTATACCCTCGCAAGTCTGTCCTTAGAGTGCACTAGCGCCGAGGAGGGTCTGGTGAGCGATGAGGAAGCGCCGATTCAGCAACCAGCGTCGATGAGCGCCGATTCGCAAGGGCCAGCAAGATGTGATGGGAGGCTCCCATGAGTTGCCACAGAAGGAGCGGCTCCTCGATGCGGCTCGAGGCGTTGGGTCGGGCGCAGGACCGCTCGGCCCCTTCCCCAGAACGGGCACCTCGTCCTGTATTTCCTGTGATGGCCTCGGGGGCCACGCTCCCTGACCTTCCAGAGCCCGCCGACGGGTCCCGAAGGGAACTGGTCCTGAGGCTTTTCGTCGAGGCGGCCCGGATGTCCTCCACGTGGAGGCCTCCGCAGGGCGGTCTCGGGCCCCTGCGGAAAAAGACTCGGGTTAAAAACCAGGGTCCAGGTCCAGGACCGATATGTCGAGCAAGTTAGAGCGCTGGATGTTTGGGGGGGTACTGCGGAGCTGGGGAGGCCCGCGGAGGGAAACACACACACACACACACTCACTCACACATACTGCATGCATGCACACATACATGCATACAAACGAACAAACACAAACAAACATAAATACGCACATGCATACATACACACATACAGTGTTGCATACATACATGCGCATACACATATATATATATAGACACCTCTACGTATGGGAAGAGAGAGAGGGCAACAATACAACAACACCATATGAAGTGAGAGAGTGAACACAAGAAAGAGAGAGACGGAGAGATTGATAATGACAACTAACGCGAGGGAGGGAGAGGGAGAGAGAGGGAGAGAGGTAGAGCGAGAGAGAGAGTACGTATGTGTGTTGCGTAAGCCAGAACCCTTGTGCCGAAGGGCTGCAGAACGTGCGATGTCGGTGCACGACGAGCCCGAGAAGGCCGATGTGGACGGGGAGGAAGTGCAGGAGCAGGAAGAGGAGGGGGAGGGGGGAACCAGGGGGGGAAGAGCTGTGGGCGGCGAGGACGGCGCACGCCGGGGGGAGGAGGGCGAGGGCTGGGAGCGGGAGGAGGACGCAGTTGAGGAGCAGGAGGGATGGAGCACAGGAAGAGAGACGGGCAGGTTGAGGGAGGCCGGGGAGGAGGATCAGGAGGAAAGCGCAGGATGCCGGTATTAGGTCGGGCCTGTCCCTCTACAGGAGGGATATTCGAGAATGGTAACAAAAATAGTCAGGGGACGATTTTTCGACCATTTCGGACTATGTTCCAGCATTTTGTGCGTACACAGGCTGCCCACAGCGCGATTCAAGAGAGCGGTCTCTGTTCAAGGGAGAAGAAACCACCCAGACCAGACAATTGGCGTCTACAAAACTGCCTTGAGCGTTTACTAAACAGCCCTGCCCTGTTCGATTCTTTCTGTGGGTGCGTTGCTAAACGGCTTCGCGTGTCGGGGTGATCATTCTGGGGGTGGATGTTCAGCCCTCTATGTGTGACACCTGATCATAGCCGAAAGGCCGAGAAGGGAGGGTGGAGGTAGAGGTTGTTCCTGGACATTCCAGGAAGCACGCTTGCCCCCAGCGGATACACATAATCAAGCATGCATGGATACCTAATGGCCTTCGACCCATCCTGCCACCGTGCTTGCGTTGTGGGTATGAAGCTCATTGGATGTTCGTCGGGATCTCGTGGGACGCCTCTCGGGGGCCTCTTGGAGGCAGTTTGGGAGCCTCTTGGGGACCGTTTGGGGGCCTCTTGGGGGCCTCTAGAGCCGTCTGGGAGCGTCGGAAAGCCGAACAGACGAGAACGCTCAAATCTTTCAAAAACCTTAGGGCAAAAGACAATGGGCATGGCCTCTTGAGGCCCTCTTGGGAGGCCTCTTGGAGGCCTCTTGGGCCGTCTGGGGGCCATCTTAAGCGTCCTGGAGCGATCGTTCGGCGACTCGGGGTCTCCTTGGACCGTCTTGAGGGCTTTAGGAGGCCCTCTTGGCTCGTTATGGGGCCCACTTAAGCGCGAAAAAGTCACGCGACAAACCGCGCCACGCCCCCAGGAGAGTCGTGCCGAGGGGCTCGAACCCCTTTTAAGAACTCCTCAGGAGTGACGATTGAGGCTTAGAGGGGTAGTGAGAGTGAGAGGACCTGAGGACACGTGCCAGAGGCACGGTGGCGGATAGACATATCTATCCACCCTCAACTGGATGTATTTTCCGGAGGCGCGTATCAATTCTGTCCTTGTGACCTCGCTCTGGGAGGACGAGAAGAGGAGGAGGAGCAGGAGGAGGATCAGAAGGTGGAGTGATTAGAAGGTGGAGTGATCAAAAGGTGGAGGTGGATGAGGGGGAGGAAGAAGAGGAGTTGGATGAAGGTAATTGCGGGCGAGGAGGAGGAGCAGGAGGAGCAGAAGGGTATGACGACGTGATGATGATTACGACGATGGCGTTTTTGATGATGATGGTGATGATGAGGATGCTGATGCTGGTGATGCTGGTAATGATGATGCTGACGATGCTACTGATGATGACGCTGATGATGGTGGCGATGCTGATGATGCTGATGATGATGATGATTATGATTATTATGATTTTGATTATGATTATGATTATGATTCTGGCGACGATGATGATGATGATGATGATGATGATGATGATGATGATGATGATCATGATCATGATCATGATCCTGATGATGATCATGCTGTTGCTGATGATGATGATGGTGATGATGATGGTGATGATGACGATGCTTATGTTTGTGATGATGATGAGGTTGTTGTCGTTTTGTTGTCGGTGGTGATGGTTACGATGATGGTGATGTTGGTGATATTGATGATCCGGATGATGGCCATGCCAATCGTGATCATCATGACGAGACGGACGAGCATGAGGGGGACGAGGAGGAGGAGGAGGAGGGAAAGGAGGAGGACGAGGACGAGGAGGACGAGGAGGACAAGGAGGAGGATGAGGAGGATGAGGCGCAGGCGGAGCCGGAGGAGGAGAAGGCGGACCAGAGGAGACGGAGCATGAGCTGGAGGAGGGGCGGTGGAAGGACGGGGCCCAGACACGAGGTGTTCTCGTGTGTTGCGATGCAACTCCCGGGGGGTCAAATTCTGATTTTGCACTGGTCCGAAGTCCGGCTTAATCTGGCTTCATCCTGCTTAATCCCGCTTGATCCCGCTGAATCCGGCTTAATCCCGCTTAGTCCGAGGCCCACTCCGGCGTAACAGCTCGCAAATGGGGTTTACTTCTCCTTGATCTTTCCGACGAAAACCTCCCAGTAGTTGCCTCCTAACGTGTGTTCAATGCGGGGTCCCCAGAAGTCTCGACCCTTTTCCCAAGGGCTGGTGTTCCATCCCGGCATCCCGGGTCGCCTTCTGACGGTCCCGGGGCCCGGCGAAGGGGCCGACAGTTGCCAGCATTTCCCGTCGTGAGTTCTTCCACCACGGGAGCATGTCTGCCCTGGCCTCCCTGGAGACAAGAGTACCCTGCGACGTTCCAACCCAGCGGCACCAAGGGATGATAGAAGCTGTGCCAACCATAATACGACAGCACCATTGCATGAACCGAAGCACGGCGGACGTCTGAGTCGTGCGCAGTGTTGCGTGGCCGACTCGCAGAGCACAGACAGACGAGGCCAGGAGGCACTGTGCCGGGAAGGAGAAGCAAAAGAGAGACATCGGGGTGGAAAAACAATCACCTCGGCAGACGAGGAGGAGGAGGAGGAGGAGGAGGAGGAGAACGGCGAGGAGGAGGAGGAGGAGGAAGAGGAGGAGGAGGAGCAGGAAAAGGAGGAGGAGGAAGCGAGATGATGGCGAGGTCGCTCTGGGATCTGCGTGGGACCTCACCGTGCTGGCCGCCCCAGCGGCCCTCGAGAGCGGCGACGGTCTCGCACGTCGCAGCCCCGCGGGGATGGCGAGGCCCCGACTGGATCTGCGTGGGGCCCCACTGCGCCGCCCCGCCCAGCAGCCCTCGAGAGCGGCGACAGTTTCACGCTCCGCGGCCCCCGAGGGATGGCGAGGTTCCGTCCGGGCCTGCTTGGGGACCTCTCTGTGCTGCCCCCCCCCCCCCCAGCAGCCCTCGAGAGCGGCGACGGTTTCATGCTTTGCAGCCCCCGAGGGATGGCGAGGTCCCGGTGGGGCCTGTGTGGGACCGTGCTGTGCTGCCTCCCCTAGCAGGCAGGCGAGAGGGAGACGGAGCTGGCTCCCCCAGCAGGCAGGTGCGGACAGGCGCGGGCAGGCGAGAGGGGGGCGGGAGGAGAAGGAGAAAGGAGTCGGCACCCCACTGCTGTGTTCAGAACGAGAACCCAACCAAGGGAGGGTTGGGGACAGATATCACCAGGACCTCGAGATCGAAATTCCAGTCGAAGTTCTGAGCAGCACAGATAAGTCTGTAGGTCTTGAGTGCTGATTGTTTTCCGTCCTGAGAGGTCAGGACTGGAGGTGGCATCCCTGGTGGTGGTGGTGTCGCTTCTCCTTCTTCCGATGCTGCGGAAAAAAACAAAACTAGTGCCCCAAGAGGGCCCCAAGACCCCCCAAGAGAGCCCCAAGAGGACCCCAGGATCCCGCCAAGAGACCCACGATGGCTCCAAGAGGGCCTCCGATGCTCCAAGGTGGCCTCCAAGATGGCCCAAGCTAGCCGACGATTGTTCAAGATAGCTTCCAAGATACTTCCTAGAGGCCCGACGAGAGCCACGTCTTGCGCTCTGGAAGGTCAGCGCGAGGGGGCGGCCACCTTGGCGCTCTTCTGGGGGCACCTCTTGGGGCCCTCCTGGGGCTCTCTTGGGGGGCCTTAGGGGCCCTCTTGGGGCCCCAGTCAGTCTAGAGTTCGTCGCCCCCCCCCCCCTCGCGCCCAGCGCGGTGCGCCGGCCTGTCCAGCCGCGCGCGCTCGACCCCCCCCGGGCGCCGCCAGGAGCTCCGGCCGGAGGCGCGGCGGCGCCGGGTGGCAGCAGCCCGCGGCGCCCCCGCCGCCGGCCGAGGCCCGCGCCGGCGCCTCGGGCCGTCGCTGCTCGGCCTCGGCGCTCGCGCGGGCGTGGCCTCCTCGCTCCCCGTGGCCTCCCCTGCCGCACCTCCTCGTGCCTCTGCCTCCTCGTGCCTCTGCCTCCTCCTCCTCTTCCTCCTCCTCCTCCTCCTTCTCCTCTTCCTCCTCCTCCTCCTCCTCCTCCTCCTCCTCGTGCCTCCTCCTCCTCCGGGCGTGCCCTCCTCCTGGCGCCTCTGCCTCCCCTGCCTCCCCGCCGCGTCCTCGCTCCCTCCCTGCTTTCCCCCCCTTCTCTCCCTGGCTTGTCGACGCCGGGCAGACCTCAGGACAGAGCCTGTGGCGTCAAAATCCCTCCCTAGCTCCTCCCTCCTCCTCCTCCTCCTCCTCCTCCTCCTCCTCCTCCTCCGTTTCCAGGGTCCATGCGGATCTATTGAAACGGCGCTCGGAGCGCGCCAGGGGCGGCGCCAGAGGGGGGCCCAGCCTCGATCCAGGAAGTCCGCGCGGACCTCCGGAAGGTTACAGGGCTTTGTTTTAAGTCGGGCCTGTCCTTCTACAGGAGGCATATTCAAAAATAGGAAAAATAGTCTGGGGACGATGTTTAAGCTATTCTTAATGTTGTTGGAGTATTCTAAAGGTATTTCGCATTTGTTCTCCAAAATTCCCATGTAGGAGGACATGCCCGACTTAAGCCTTGTTGCGAAACCCCGAGCCCGGGTCAGCCGCTTGGCATAGCTCCTCGAGCTCGGGTGAGTGGAGGGCGGAAAGGGAGAGTCGGCCCCGTGAAGCTCCAAACGCTGCACCGTCGGGGGGCATCCTGGACCATCGAGCAACAAACAAACACGCACGAGAGCGAAAGAAGCACGCGGACTCGGCGTCCGAGCGATGGGGGCCAGGCGTCCCCGACGGCGGAACAGTTTTTGTTGTTGTTGTTGCTGTTGGTGCTGGTGTTAAGTAGTTGTTGTTGTTGCTGTTGTTGTTGTTGTTGTTGTTGGCGTTGATGTTGGTGTTGCTGTTTGTGTTGGTGTTGTTGCTGTTGTAGTTGGTGTTGGTGTTGTGGGTGATGTTACTGTTGTTGTTGATGTTGATGTAATTGTTGGTGTTGGTGGTGTTGTTGGTGTTGCTGTCGGTGTTGTTGTTGGTGGTGTTTGTGCTGTTGTTGTTGGTGTTGTTGTTGGTGGTGTTTATGGATTTGCTGTTCTTGTTCTTGTTGTTGTTGTTGGTGGTGTTGGTGTTGGTGTTGTTGTTTTTTTGTTGTTGTTGTTGTTGTTGCTGTTGTTGTTGTTGGTGTTGGTGTTGTTGTTGTTGTTGTTGTTGTTGTTGTTGTTGATGTTGCTGTTGTTGTTGTTATTGTTGTTGTTGTTGTTGTTGCTGTTGTTGTTGTTGTTGTTGTTGGTGTTGTTGTTGTTGTTGGTGCTGTTGGTGTTGTTGTTGTTGTTGGTGTTGTTGTTGTTGTTGTTGGTGTTGTTGGTGTTGTTAGTGTTGTTGTTGTTGTTGGTGGTGGTTGTGGTGGTGGTGGTGTTGTTGGTGTTGTTGGTGTTGTTGTTGTTGTTGGTGTTGGTGTTGGTGTTGTTGTTGTTGTTGTTGTTGTTGTCGTTGTTGTTGGTGGTGTTGTTGTTGTTGTTGTTGTTGTTGTTCTTGTTGTTGTTGTTGTTGTTGTTGTTGTTGTTGTTGTTGTTGTTGTCGTTGCTGCTGCTGCTGCTGCTGTTGTTGTTGTTGTTGTTGTTGTTGTTTATGGTGGTGCTGCTGTTGTTGTTGTTGTTGTTGCTGCTGTTGCTGTTGCTGTTGCTGTTGCTGTTGCTGTTGCTGTTGCTGTTGTTGTTGGTGTTGTTGTTGTTGTTGTTGTTGTTGTTGGTATTGACGAGAACGGGGCCCTGGTACCCTTGGAGGAGTTGCGGGGGGGGGGGCGCAACCGCAACCGCGCAACGCTCGAGCAGGAGCGGGGGGGGGGCGCAACAGGGCGGAGGGAAGCGCAACCAGCGGCGCAATTGGGCGGGGGAGGGAGGGCGCAACAGGGGGAGGGGAAGGCGCATGCCATTCTACCCTTTGGGGCGCACTGGGCACTCGGGAGCGCTGGAGCGCACTGGGAGCGCTGGGAACGCCGTGGAAGCGCCCGTGGCAGCTCTCTCGTCACGTGTCCTGGGAGCTCATTGGCAGCTCCTCTGTGCGCGCTCCCTGTCCCTGGGAGCGTTCACAGGGCGCCCCGAGAGCGCTCCCTCGAGCGCGCCATGCTGGAGCGCACCGGGGGGCTCACTGGGATCGTGCGGGGTGCGCTCCGTGGAGCGGGGGCGCTCCTGGGCAAGCTTCCTTGGGATTCGCAGAGGGCCTGTGAACGCTCCCTGCGGGCGCTCCCCGTGCGCCGTGGGCACGCTGCCTGGGGCGCCCTGGGGCCCCACCGAGGGCGCCCTGGGGGCGCGCTGAGGGGCGCGCTGAGGGGCGCTCCCTGGGGCGCATTGGGTGAGCCTTGCGATCGCTCCCTGCGTGCCCGGGGCACGCTTCCTAGGGCGCACCAGAGTTCACGGTGTGTGCCCCGCAGACCCCTCTCTGGGCGCCGTGGAGGCGCCCCCTGGCGCGCCCAGAGGGCGCGCTGGGCACCCCTTGGGTGGGGCGTCCTGGGAGCGCCCTGGGTGCGCCCTCCGTCTGGGCTCTCTCCGTCTGGACTTGGCCTCTCCTGAAGAAAAGGCGCGGTCCTCCCCCCCCCTCCGTTTTGGGGAGGCCTCGAGGGAGGGAGAGGGGGAGCAGGAGGAGGAAGTAAAAGGAGAGATCGAAGAAGAAACAGCTGGACTCTCGGAGCATGGGAGAGAAGGAAGAAGAAGCGACAGAGGAAGGAGAGCATGGACTCTCGGGGCTCCGCGCGGATTCCTCGGATCGGCGCTGGAGCCCCCCGGCGGCGCCTCCATCGCGCTCCTGGCGCGCTCCGCGCGCGCAGCGAGGGCGCCCCAGCGCCAGCCCACGAAAGCCGCGCGGGCCTCCGGGAGTTCACGTGCACGTCAGGGTCTGTTCTTTCGTGGCTGTCTCGGGACCTCGCAAAAGGGGGGGGGATGTCACGGGGGGGGGGAGTTCGGTCCGTCGGCGCATCGAACCGCAGAAAGACGATGCAAAACGAGGTCTCCGGACGCCGCCGGAACCCGAGCGGCGTCGACCATCGGGGCGCGCGGGGGGCATCGTTTTTCGGAAGTTCGATGCACCAGCGGATCGCACAAACTCCCCCCCCTCAGGGTTTTCCCCCACCTTGGTGGACCCTGATGTTATGATTCTGGGGCGGGCGACTTTCAGACCCAGATCCCCTCGCGTCGTGAAACAATCGAGACTTTTGAAACCAAAACATGCTCGACTCCCAGAAGCTCTCGCCGGGCCCTGGGGCCCTTACAGAGACTCAGGATGAAACGCCAGTCCTGGGCAGTGGGTCGAGACTTCTGGGAGTCAACGTTGTGACAGAAGTCGCGACGTTGAGGCTCTAGGGACCCAGGCTAGACGTTCGTTTTGGGGGCCTCCTGGGGGCCCACCCGGCGGACCTGTTCGACCCCAGTTCGGCCCTACCGTTCGGCCCCAGCTCAACTCTGGCTCGCCTCCCTCGGCATCCGCCGATATGAGCGTTTTTTTGCATAATCCGCGGCCTCAGAGATCCCGACCGCTTCCCTGGGGGTAGTTTGTCGCACTGGATCCATTGTTGTCGGGGGCGGCCAAGAGGGCGGTGATGACTAGGGTAGGGTAGGGGGATCTCATGGCGGGAGCCATGATGTCTCACCACATCTCATGGCGCCGCTTCTTGTTTCAAGACGTCCCCGGCGCCCCGTGGGCCGCGCACGTGACGCCGGCCATGCTCTGCGTCCCCCCCCTCTTATGATGGCCCCGAGGCCCGACAGATGCCCCCGAGGGCCGGAAGTTACAGTCAACCCGCACAGTAAGGATGGGCACCCTTCCCAAGGGTACCCCTTGCGTCCTTGCCTCCTCGTCCCATCCTTGGCCGCTTCCGTTGGCCGCGCCCCGCTCGAAAAGCTTCGAAATGCCCTTCCAAGGCCCGTGCATCCTCATCGCGCATCCTTGTGATACGGGTTGGTTATATGGTTAAGTCGGGCGTGCCCCTCTACAGGAGAAATATTCAAGCATAATTGCAAAACAAGTCGGGGGACGATGTTTGAGTATCTTTGGATTATTTTCAGGGTATGTTGTGAGTGAGCTTTAAATCGTTCGCCCAAAATCCGTCTGCAGGGGGACATGCCCGACCTAACTGTATGGAGGAGCAACGCCCCAATTGAACAAACACCAGGTCGTGTACAGGATCCGGCTTGAATAAGGAACACATGCTTTGTCGACTTACTTGGAAAAAAGGGGCTTCGTTCCTTATTTATCGTTTCTCAAGTCAGGCCGAATACTGCAGATCTGCGCGTGGCTCAGCTCCAGCTCGGCTCGAGGCAGCGAACCTTCGGCGCAGCCTCGGCGGGGCATCGGCGCACGGCCCGGCCCTGGGCGATCCGCGGGGCGGACCCCCTGTTCGGCTCCTCTTGGCAGGGCGTTCACGTCTGGACACCTGGGGGGAGGGGGCTAAAGGGAGGTGGGGAAGCGGCGGAGGAGGAGTAGGAGGTGGAAGAGGAAGGAGGAGGAAAAGGAGGAGGAGGAGAAGGAGGAGGAGAAGGAGGAGGTGGAAGAGGAGGGATGACCCTCCTACTCCTCGATCTGTATACCTTTTTTACATCTACCTCTGGCGCCGCCGGTGACCCCTGGAGCGGTGCTTTGAGGGCCTCCCAGCCCTAGTTTGATCACCCCCCCAGGGCCCCACCTGCCCTGTTGAGGGAGGCTGCGAACGACGTTCTTTCCAGCCATCATGAGGAATCAGGAATGAGGAGGAGGAGGAGGAGGAGGAGGCGGAGGAGGAGGGCGAGCACAAGGAAGACCAAGTTGACAGAACCTCCTGCTTCCACTCAGTTTCTCGTGATCCCTGGGTGGGGGAAGAGAGAGAGAGAGAGGACTGACGGTATAGAGAACGACGACGACAAGAGTCAACCATAAAGGACCAAAGTCCGCCTGTAGGGGGACACACACGACCTAACCCTTGAAGGTATGTTGGAGTTCATCTTGAGCCATCTTGGGCTATGTACGAACCATCTTGTAAGCCACCCATCTGTCCTAGGTCCTCGAGTCGTATCCGGCCATCTTGGACGCTCGATGCCCCACGCGGCCACCCCCGTTCAGATCCAAGGGAGGGGGAGGGACAGGGATGAGACAAGCCTTTTCTCGAGGGAGAAGAGAGAGGCTTGAAGAGGAAACGCGCTCAACCACTTACGCCCAGATGGCTGGCGGGGCTGTTTGCGACAAAGGCAAGTGTTAGGACCGTACCCTGCGCAGAAGTGCCAGGATGTAGTCGGGTGTTGCAGGCGACTTTCGCTCCATGAGTTCTCAAGCCCAAGGGTGCAAGAAGTCTACCTTCTCGCGGTAACGGACGTTACGGGGGTAGTGGTGGGGGGAGGGGGCTGGTGACGTCACGATTCGCGCCGGCGCACCTACCGCTAGCCATTCCCAGACGGACGGCACGTGCGCGACTCGTGATGTTACCAGGGAGGGGAGAGTGGGAAGTGTGTGCACCCCTGTAACGGGCGTGATCGCGAATCGAATACAAGAAAAGGGGCTCGAAAGTGCTGGCGAGGAGGGCTTGGGAGGATGAGAGGATGATCAGGCGAAGGATGAGTCGGAAAAGTGCGGGCTTCAGGATGCAACTCCTGGGAGGTTAAAATCAGCATCGGCGCAAGTGTGTCCGTCGTCGAGAGTTAGCCCGATCGGGCATAGTCCCGGTCAACTCCGTTCAATCCTACGAACTCCCGTTTAATCATTGCCTTAATCCTGGCCTATCCGGCTTGATGGCCTTTTACTCGATCTCAGTAATCCTCAATCGTTCTGACGAATACCTCCCAGGTGTCGCTCCCGCATGATGCGACGTGACAGGAGTCCAGGCGGAACCGTCTTGGCAGTCACGGGCGGGGCTAGGACGAGGATAAATCCGCTCCAGAGCGTTATGACATGTTGCCAGAGCGGTTGGGAACGCTCTGAGAAGGCCGCTGTGCCCGAGACGTCCCGCAGAGCCGCCAGATCTCAGAGAGATTCTTGATTCATCCTCACCCGATGTTATATCATCGCCCTGGCTTCGTCTCACAGGCTGAGCCGTCTGGGCAGTCACAGGCGTTCTGCTGTTCCAACCTACTTTAGCCTTGGCCACCAGAAAGAGTGTCGAGCACCAACAAAGTACCGAAACTCTATGGTTTTCACGTATCGCGCCCTGGGAGACACTCGCCCGACACTGTTTCGACACTCTTTCGACACTTTTCTGGGTGCTCGAAATTATTTCTGGGATGTAGTCTTTGCGTGCGATGGGAGCAAGACAGCACAGGCGTGCTGGCAGCCGATGCACAACCCGGCGGACACGCTGGTGCACTTCCACAAGTCCTTCGGCGTCATGCAGGAGATGGGGCCCCCATCGCCCGTGGGCGGCCGGCGTGCGGGGCCGCCAGGCGAGGGGGAGAGGTCTTCATTTTAAGCAGCATGTAGCCCCCAGCCATGCTATAGCACAGGGAACTCGTGGCCTAACTGAGGCTCGCATTCTTCAACTTGTGGGCAGTTTCGCCTGAGACGTCTGCGAAACAGCCCCCTCTTCTCCCTAATGTTGCAACCTTTATAGCACAATGAACTCGTGGCCTAACCGAGGGCCTCATTCTTAACGCATGTGGGTAGTTTCGCCTGAGACAGCTGCGAGACAGCCCCATCGTATCCCTAATGTTCTTGGCCTTCCAACTCGTGTCCCCTCCCGAAGGGTTCGGGGTGCTTTTGTTGCTCCTCAACGGGGTGGGGGAGGGAGCGTGCAGATGGGGAAGGGCACTGCAGGACCCTGACCTTCCAACGTGCACAAACGTAGCACTCCAGATCTATAGAACTGTCTGGGCTGCTCAAAGCCTCGACTGTAGTTTCGATGTCGAGGCTCCTGTGCCATTTTTGTTAGCCTTCCTGGAAGCTCAGGGGAGAAGGGGGCTTGCCGGAAGGGCAGGGGAGGGGCACCGGGCGAGGAAGGGGATCCTGGCGGGGCCGGGACCCGGGCCGCTCGCCTCGACGCGTTCTGCCATGCTCTCGGGGCGTTCCGTAGCGCTCTGGCACGGTCGCGGCGCCCGACAGATCCTATTGCTCCGGCGGATGCTTTAGGGATCCCCGATTCCTCTCGGGGGTGGACAGAACCCCCAACAGTGACACGTCGATTAGTGAATTGTCCGTTTTCGGTTCTCGAGAGGGCGCCGTGGCCGTTATTTTCCAGGCTTGCGCCCGCCAGGTTTGGGCCTCAGGTCGTTTTCACTAAACCACGTTTTACTAAAGGGGGGTCTGTCCGTCCCCGATCCTCCCGGTCCGATGTTTGTCCTTCGGTCGTGGCTTCGTCCTCTCAGGGATGGGGATTGGGCAGGACGAGGGCGTGCGCGACAAGAAGAAGGAGGAGGTGAAGGAGGTGCAGGAGGAGGTGAAGGAGGTGCAGGAGGAGGAGGAGGAGAAGGAGGAGGAGGTGAAGGAGGAGGAGGAGGAGGAGGAGGAGGAGGAGGTGAAGGAGGAGAGCCTGTGCGCAGCACGGGCCAGAGGGTCCTGCGCTCCGGGGGGCCTTTGTGTCCCGCGCGCCTTCGGAGCGCGGATCCGGCGCGAGGCATCGAAGAACAAGCAACTGCGTAAACACAAATTCGGCTGCAACTCCTGGGAGGTCGTATTCGGAATTCGCCTTGGTCCGAAATCCGGCTTCATCCGGTGTACTCCCGCTTCATCCGGTTTAGTCCCGCGCGATCCCGCTTCATCCGGCTGATAGCCCCGCTCGCTCCGAGGCTCCGTCCGGCGCAACAGCCCCCCGACGGGGCTTCGTCCTCCTCGAATCCTTCCGACGAAGACATCCCAGCAGTTGCCTCCCGATATCTTGCTCCTCCGGAAAAAAAACACGCGCGTTCTTGGGCGCCGCGGCCACTCGCGCGGCGTCGCGGCGCCCGAGCGGATCGAAGGAGGCGCGCGCGCACGGCCTCGCGCCACGCGCGCCGGCGCGCCGCGGGCGCTTGGGCAGCCTGCGCCGCCGCCCCTCTGCGCCGGCCTTTGTGGGCGCGTCGCTGCACTTAGTCGATTGACTAAAACAAATCGTCTTGGTAGGATGTTTAGATTATTCTTAGGCTTACGCCACACCGCCGACCCCTTGTTTATGCCAATCTGGGGGTAGTAGAAGCTGCGAAGGGGTGAAAAGCGAGTTTTGGAGCCACTTGGGGGCCGTTTCGGAGCCTCTGGGGTGCTTCTTGGGGGTTCCTTGGGGCGTCTGGGCGGCCTCGTGAGGGCCTCTGGGGGCCTCTTGGGGCACTCTTGGGGCCCCCTGGGGCTCCTGGGGGCAGAAAGCTAGAGTTTCAACATGTTTGGTCGCCCTCTTGGGCCCCTCTTGGTGCCGTCTTGGAGCCCTCTTGGGCCGTCTTGGGGACCTCTTGGGCCGTGTTGGGGCCGTCTTGGGCCGTCTGGAGGCCGTCTTGGGGGCCTCTTGGGCCATCTTGGGGCTTTCTTGGGGGCCTCTTTGGCCGTCTTGGAGCGTCGGGAAGCCGAAAAGGCGGAAAAGCAAAAAACATCGAAAAACACTATGGAAAATCAACAATTTTAGACTCTTGGGGTCCTCTTGGGAGGCTTGTTTGGGACCTCGGGGGCCGTCTTGGAGACCTCTTGGCCCGTCTTGGGGCCATCTTGGGCGTCTTGGAGCGGTCGTTTGGCGTCTCGGGGCCTTCGTGGGCCGTCTTGGAGGCCTCTTGGGGGCTTCTTGGCCCGTCTTGAGGCCCTCTTGGGCCCGGAAAAGCCCCGTGAACCGCTCGTCCCGGCCGTGCTGCGCTCGTCCCGGCCGTGCTGCGCTCGTCCCGGACCCCCCCCCCCCCCTCCAAATCGACCGGACCGGGCTCCCGGGGGAGGGGTTTGGGGAGGGGGAAGCATCTCACACGCCGATGATCCCCAAGGGGTCGGCGGATTTTTGGTTTTTTGTTGGTATTACTTGGCGATTTATTTGTCCTCCAAAATCCGCCTGCAGGGGGACATGCCCGACGGAATCGTAACAAAGGAGTCGCAGTGGGATGGTTCTGCCGGCGCTGTCGGCCTCCGGGGGCCCTGGAGAGGGTGCTTTTCTGCCCCCCTCATGGGCCATGACGCGCGTTGTGCGCCCTCCCCTCCCCCCGCTCCCCTCCTCCTCCTCCTCCTCCTCCGCCTCCTCCTCCTCCTCCTTCTCCTCCTCCCCCCCTCTGCATGGGCCATGACGCGCGCTGTGCACCCTCCCCTCCCCCTGCTCCTCCCCCTCCCCCCACATAACCTAGCGCTCCCCCCCTCAAGTGTGTCCCCAGCACTGCGGCGCGGTGCGTCCAGCACCCACACTGGAGGGGGGGGGGGGGGGAGGGGCGTTACGCTGTGCCTCCCCCCCCCCCCGCTCCCCGCTCCCGCTCCCCTCCTCCTCTCCTCCTCCCCTCCCCTCCCTCCTCCTCCTCCTCTCCTCCTCCTCCTCCTCCTCCTCCCTCCTCCTCCTCCTCCTCCTCCCCTCCTCCTCCTCCCCTCCCCCCCCCCCCACACTACGACGGCTACCGCCGCGAATGCCAAATAAAAAAGCTCTCCTCGCCGGCCCCCGGGGGCCGCCAGACCCCCCCCCCTGCAAAGCCTGACGCTCCCCCCTCAGTGTGTCCCCATGCAGCACTGCGGCGCGGCGCGTCCGGCACCACACTCGGAGGGAGGGGGGGGGAGGGGCGTTACGTTGTGCCCCCCCCCCCCCCGTTCCCCGCTCCCCTCTCCCCCCCCCGCACTACCACGGTCACCGCCGCGAGTGCGAACAAAAAAAAAACGCTCCTCGCCGGGCCCCGTGTTGAAGGAGCCCCCCGTTCTACACTCGGGGCCCTGAAGAAGGAGCCCTTTTCGTTGGGGAGGGGCTCCGCGTTCCTTGAGTGTTTCACAGCTTGCCTCGGGCTTTCCTTTTGTTTTCGACAGGAAATCGAAGGTTAACTTATGGAGAAAAGGGGCCTCGTTCCTTATTTAGGGTTCCTTAGGTCAACGCCCCGACTGTACGACGGTCACCGCCGCGAATGCCAACAAAAGCCCTCCTCGCCGGGCGCCTGGGCCGCCACAAAACGGCTCGGGATGGCAGCGCGGGACGAGAGGCCAGCCCTGCGGAGCGGGTCGCGACCTCCGGGGGCCCCGTGGTGAAGAAACCCCGTTCTATGGCATGCCTGGGTGCGGCGGGGGAGTCCGGGCCCGCCGAGCAACGATTGGTGTTGCAATTCGATGGGCGGCGGGGGTAAGGTTCGGAATGCGTCGCACGCGCGGCGAAACTCGAACCCTACCCTTGAGTCGGGCCGGTCCCTCTACACGCTACAGGGGGAACTGTTCAAACATAGTAAAGAAATAGACTGGGGGCGATTTTTGAAAAACAAGCATTTTTGTATATCTTTGATTATGTTCGGAGTCTGCTTTGTTTTTCGTCCAAGATCCCCCTGTAAGGGGACACGCCCGACCTGACCCTGCCCCCGCCCCCCATCGATTCCAAGGGCTCCCTCGAGGGCGCGAAGTTATTCGCGCTTCGCGCTTCGCGGTCCTCGTTCCTTCTCCCCCTCCTCCTCGTCCTCCTATTCTCCCTTTGGGAGGGCGGCGCGAGAGCGCGAAGTTATTCGCGCTTCGCGCAGCGCGAAGCGCGAAGTTGGGAGCCCTAGCGATTCGGGAGGACCGATGGCTGGCGGGGTCAGGGCCCGGAGGTCGCCACATGTCGGGGGTGGGGGCCAGCGCCTGCCCCCATGCCTGGCCGTTGTTTAGAGGGAGCTGCTGGGAGCCAGGGGGCGACAAATTCTCCGAACTCGTTGTGCGTGAAGGGGCGGCATGGGAGCCGCGCCAGGGCAATGTCGGGGTTAGCCAGGCAGGCGGTGACCCCCGCGAAGCCCCAGTAGGCCCCTGGGCTCCTGGAAGCCGACGACGGCCAAAGTTCACCGAAAACGCCCAAAAACGCCCTGCCTCGATCGTCGACGGCCGTGGGAAAAAACATGTCAGCCAGGGAAAAAGGAGGAGGAGGAGAAGGGGGAAGAAAAGGAGGAGGAGGAGGAGGAGGAAGAGGAGGAGGAGGAGGAGGAGGAGGAGGAGGAGAAAACTACGACGACGTCGACGACGACGACGACGAACACCGACGACGACGACGACGACAAACGGACACCGACGACCACGGACGACCACGACCACGGGCGAACGACGCGACGGACACCGACAACGACGACGGACACCGATGACCACAGACGGACACCGATGATTACAGACGACCGCGACCGCGGACGACGACAATGACGCCGGACGACGACGACGACGACGACGACGGACGACGACGACGACGACAACGGGCGACGACGACAATGACGACGACGACGGACGACGACGACGGAAGACGACGTCGGATGATGACGACGG